AAATACAACAGCAACAAAACCCAAAAATACTTCACAGATATCTAAAAAAACATTATTTTTTTTTTTTTCTCAGAGATACAAGGTAAAGCAGCATCACTTTGACACTGTGCTTTAAAAAAGAAGATGATGAATGAAGAGACTGCTCGAGTGAGATTAGAAAATTTTGCTTTCTTCTTGAAGAAGACTACTAACATTTTGCACAGCAACTATTTTTATAACCACCTCATTTTAAAAGCGTGAATTCCTAGACACAGAATTGTCATTTCGCCGCCAGTTTTGCTCAAAGTGTCTGACTTTACACAGTGGAACTGAGAATGCCAAGTGTCACCAGATGTCACGATACCATGAGTTCAAGATTGGAACAGAAGTGAAGCAAATGCCTTGAAACCAACAGCAGGAAAAGGAAATCAAAGAGAAAGTGTTTTGTAAACAAAACAAAAGCACTTTGCAAAATAAAATAAAATAAAAAAAACCAAAAAAAAAAGAAAAACAAGAGTTCAGAGATCTCACAGTGAAATCAGAAATTCTAATTATATATGTTTTACATTCTAGGACTACTCTTTACCTTAGGCCAATTAAAGCACATTAAACCATTTAATTATATACAAACATTTTCTTTAAAAAAACAACAACAAAAAAAAATTAAAACATTGCACAGAAGTCTGCTTTTAACATCACATAACAAGGTTAGTTTTATTTTCAAAACAATTACATTTAAGGGCACAGAACATACAGAATACCAAATTAACAGATGAGTAATTTTGCTTCTCTGTACATGCTAAATCCAAAGATTTCCTTGAGAAAGCTGGAGCTTGGCAACTCCAGCTTCTTCCACGTCTCCTGTTCTCTGAAAGGGAGCAATTCCCGACACCTCCTCTATCTCAGGATTTAAAAAAATAGATATATAAAAAAAATAAAGCTGTTTTAAAGTTGTAAGCATCTCTTAAGTGCTGGCAGAGCTCCCTGGGTGGCTCTGCCCCCTCCACTGTAACCTCATGGAAATAAATCCTTTTCTCTCCTGGATTACAGGGCTCATGACTCTCATCAGAAGTCTCATCCTGGCCCTTCTGGGATCAGGGAACACACAAGTGGAGAAGTAAAAAATACACAATATAAGGAATATACTGAAGGCCATTTTTTATTTCTTACAATCTCGCACTGTTTCCTTTCCCTAAAAGCTAATCAGGAAAAAAAAAATATTAAAAATAAAAGTTAAACAACAACAAAAAAACCAACCCTCTAAACTTTGGCAGAGAATAGCATCAAATTAGCCATTTAAAAAAACTTAAATAAAAACAGTCTCCCAAAGTGTACTATTAAACTCTCAAAAAGCCTCTATTTATTTTTTTTTTTAATTTATTTTTTTTTTTTTTCTTCTTTTTTAAATAAAAGGCTTCTACCATTTCCAGGAGCAAAACTCAAATATCTTACCTTAAAAAATAAGTTAAGGGAAATAAGAAGAAGAAGAAAAAAAAAAAAAAGCTGTCATTCCAAACTCAGTTTTCCAAGACTTGTCACCCTAAAAGCTCAAGGTGATAATAAATAAACCCATTGCTGCAAGACAGAAGCACACCCAGCCCCACTCAGGGGGAGGAGACCAGGCAACAAAATTCATGGAACTGACTGTCCATGGTGGGAAACACTCTGTGGTTCTGCTGCACCAAAAAACGGGTGTTTAATCCCAAAAATCATCAATTTCCCCCCTCAGCAAAGGCTTGTTTACGCTATAAAAAAAAAATCCCTTCTCTTTACACAAGGTCCTTCTCGCTTGGAACCTCAGAAATGTCTTTATTTCATTATAAAGGCCTTTTAGTAAGTGGTTTTATGCAGCAAAGAACGTCAGCAACTTCCAGCACCTCGACGACGAGGCTGGAGAGGAGCGCGCAAAACACCTGAAGAGAAAAAGCGCTGGAGAAAGAAATTTCCTTAAAAGCTCCACAAAACCAGGTCCAAAGATGGGGTGGGGAGGCAAATTAATAATTAATGATGACCCTGCCTGTCAATTAGCAGTGTGATTAATGTGGCAGCTCGTTAGTTAGCACAAGGGTGAGCGAATGAAGGGGGAGACGGAGCTCCGCGGTGCGTTCCTGACGACTGCACTCCCTCCCACAGCCCAGGATGATTTCCCCGCGGGTCTGACCCAGCAGGACATTGGGATTCTGCCTGTCAACTCTTCCAAGCGTCCTCTTTGAGGAGCAGATGACTCGGGGAAGGGGCAGAGGGATGGAAGGAGCAGGGAGAAGCCGCTGGAAGCGCCTCCTCCGGCCGTGCCCGCCCGCGTAAGGCACCCTGGGGAACAGCACAGGGGGCGATGGGGCCGAGCCAAGGGGTCCCTGAGCTAACCTGGATTCCCAGGCGGTGGCAAAGCGCTGGACATGGAGGGCAAGGAGGAGCAGCCTGGAAAATCCCAGTGCCAGCCGCTGCTCCCAATTCCAAAGGGACACGAGTCTCCTTCCCTGCGCCAGATCGGGAGTTTGAGCCGCATCCCGGCCCTCTCAAGAGGATATTGTTGGACTGAGAATTATCTTTACCCTCTACAAGTTGTTTTTCATCCCACTGGGATCGAACGTTGCCCTAAATTATCTTATCCCTACATTTTACATCAAACCATCCTTCACAGCTCAGCCCACTAACGAAGCGACTCGAGATGCCATTAATTTCACACACCAGGATTTCACCCTTCAATAGGATTTGAAATGTTTTCCCAAAGCAAGCCGTGGCTACACAAATCGTAACAAAATGTGTCTTTTCCCACTGGTAGCAACATCAACACCAAGTATGGTGACTCCTCTCTACAAATATTGCAACAACACTCAAAGTTTTCCACTTTGGAGTAGTTCTACTTCCCAGCAGCAACAACTAAACCAAGTGGAGAAAAGTGCAGCAGCTCAGCCTCTGCTCAAAGTTTTGGAATGAATGAGATTTAATCGATATAAAAACATCACCAAAGCAAACAAAACCAGCCCAAAAATAGAAGTGAATCCTTTTATCTGAAAATAAGTGTTGTAAATTATCTACTAAAAGCCATGAGGATGGCACCACTGAAAAAGCAAACTTTCTCCAGCAGTCAAAGGCAGGATTGACCCAAATTTCATCTCTACAACACAGTCCCCCCCACAGGAATTGGTTCTTGTTTGTGTGCCAAGGAAATGCTGCTGGACCCCTGAACTTGTTTAGATGAACGCTCACAATGGTCCCTCAGCCCCATTTTGGCCCAGCCACTTTGTGCTCTCCTGAATGAGCTCAGGAGCAAAGAAAACTGGAGGAATTATTTCCTTGGGAAGCCTGGATATGAGCACTGTGCCCTGGAGAGGGAAGGAGTTCAAGCACTCCAAAAACCAGGAGCCAGCTTGGCTTGGGGAAGGATGAGAGCTCCAACCTGCTGCACACACACCCTCCACACCTGGGAACTGCTCATCCCTGCCTGGCCACTCATCCTTCAGCAGGAAAGATCCTCTGGATCTGGAGACCTACAAATAGCTGTGAGTGCCTGGGAAGAATTCAGGTTTTTGGAAAAATCCCGAGGACAGGACAGACCTCAATTGCCGACACAGATTTTGGCTGCGCGTGTTCTCCCGACACCGAATCCCTCGGGATCGTTCTGAGGAGGGAGGGAGTGAGGGAATGAGGGAATTTCTTCACACAAAGGTCACTCATGGGAAGGGGCTGCCCAGGGAGGGGGTGAAGTGTCCAGCCCTGGAGGTGTCCAAGGAATGTGGTGCTCTGGGCTGGCTGATGAGGTGGGGATTGGGCAGAGCTGGAATTCAATGACCAGGGAGGGCTTTTCCAAGCTCAGGAATTGTGGGATTCTTCAAAAAACAAAAAGAAAGTTTGAGACGGTGAAAGGAGAAGTGGGAGAAGACGTGGGGCAAAAGGACTCTGGAAAACAAGGAGCACTTTCACCTCTCTCCCCCATCTCCCCTTCCTTGCCTTCTCAGCCATCTGGGATTCCTCCCAGACACAGCAGAGGAAAACCATTCTGCAGGGTGAAAAACAGTTTTTCACGCAAAGCCTCGTGTTTCTCTTTTTCCCATGTGGTAGAACCTACATACAGAATTTTCCCTAAAAAAGAAACTAATCCTAATGATGTCCTAAAGAGGCTGGAGAGCTGAATGAATATTTTCGGCCATTTACTGAAACTCAAGAAATTCCACTCAAACCTGAGGAAAAATTTCTTTCCCTGGAGGTGGTAAAGCCCTGCAACTGCTGCCCAGGGACATCCCAAACCCACCCTAAAAATTCTGGGGTTTTTCTATTTCAATATATTACGAACCCCACAGAAAGAATATTTCTTTTTTCTCCTTCTCCATTGACAGTTTGTCATCTCCAGGCTTGTTTTCATTTTAGTTTTTTCTCTCTTTTTTAAATACAGAAGCTTTTCAGTAATGGAATTTACAGTGGACAAAAAAATCAAAAGACAAAAACTTCCTTACAAAGAAAAAAAAAAACAAAAAGGAAAGCAGAAAGCTGTAAGAGCTATCATGTTTTAAGTGCTATAAAATGAGACAAAACAGCTTCCTGTTCTTGCCAGAAGAAAAATGAGAAAACTAAAGAAAAAGAAAAGAAAAAAAGATAGAAAGCAGTGAGTGCAATTAAAAAGTGCTAAGTTGGCCAAGGTAATACAGTTATTTTATAAATGTGCATCACAGCTCTGCACTTACAAATCTTTTGACACAGCTTTAATCACTCAGATTTTACACACTGGTAACTGATTACCTGTTATCTTCACTTAATGCTGACTGAGCTGTAACTGCCTGACTTCAAACACAGCCACCTGCCTGCCTTTGGTATATTTATACACAGAAAAACAAAAGGCTAGTGCTGCAAATGGAAACAACAACAACAACAAAAAAAACAACCAAAAAAACCCCAAAACAACACAAAAGGGAATAAAGAAAAAGCCACCACAGGACAGGTTCTGCTTTCAGCAGAGGGAGGACAACACATTTCAAATGGTCTCGAAATAGGCTAAAGCTGAGTCGATCTTACAATTATAGCGTAAACAATGCCTGGGTTGTGGTTATGTTGTTTGAAAAGAAAAGAAAAACCAAAAAAACCTCCAGAGACCTGTATCAACTTCTGTATGTTTAAGCCATACCCTTAAAAGTTCACTATTCACTCACAAAGAGAAGTAGACAAACATGAAGATTCCAAGCGAACAGACACAGACCAGTCCGGTATTTAGTAATAGTTTAACTTTTGGAGTCTCTTCCAGCATTTGTAAACAAACAGTCTCTTCCTCAACCTCCCGAACCACTCTCTTGTTTACGTTTTTACTTTTAAAGCCACAGAACCAATCTATGAATTTCAAATGTCTCTCCCTGTCGTCAGTCCCCTCCTCCTCCTCGTGCTTTTTCTCCCCCATCAGGGCCGCCTGTCCGTTGGAATAACAATCCACGGGCGTCTCCACCTCGGAGTGGCTCACCGAGATCACCGGGTTGCTGTCATCCCTGCACGTCACCAGGAGGTTGATGTCCTCCGGCTTCACGTTTTTAATGTTCTCCTCTGACTTCCCGTTGGGAATGATGTGGTTGGCGTTCTCGTTGCACTTGAGGATGCTTTTCTCCTGCGCCTGGTACAGCTCCCCCTTGCCGGCGCTCTCCGGCGCACCGCGCTTCCTCAGGGCCCAGAAGGTGGTGGTCCGGACCTGCTCCTTGGTGGGCGGTGGCGTGAGCAGGCTCACCACGACCGTCACGGCCCCGGTGATCCAGAACAGGGCCGTGGCCACGTACATGTAGTGGATGTTCTTGATGAAGCCGGGCCTGGTGTCCGGCTGGTCGCACTCGGGAGCGCGGTAGAAGAAGGCCAGGACCAGCCGGATGGCGCCCAGGACAAACCCGGCCATGCCGCCGTAGAAAGCCCCCTGCTCATTGCAACGCTTCCAGAAGATGGCCATGAGGAACAGGGCGGCCACCGGCGGGGTCAGGTAATCCGCCACCTCCTGGATGTACAGGTACATCTGCCCGCCCTGCATCTCCACGATGATGGGCACCCAGGCGATGCTGATCACCACCATGAAGGCCACGAAGATCCTGCCCACGATCATCAGCTCCCGGGAGGTCGCGCTCTTCCGGATCAGCTTGTAGACGTCGAGCGTGAAGATGGTGCTGGCGCTGTTGAAGATGGAGTCCAGGTCGCTCATCAGGGCGGCGATCATCACGGCCATCATGAGCCCGCGCAGCCCCACGGGCACCAGGTTCATCACCAGGCGCGGGTAGGCAATGTTGGAGCAGCCGGCCCTGCTCCCGCACACCTGGAAGCAGTGCTCGGGGTTGATGCAGGCGATGTCATCCACAAACAGGATGCGGGAGATCATCCCCGGCACCACGATGATGAACATGGGCAGCAGCTTCAAGAAGCCGGCCATGAGGGTGGAGCCTTTGGCATGAGCGATGTTTTTGGCGGCCAGAACTCTCTGCACTATGACTTGGTCAGCGCACCAGTACCACACCGAGGCCGGGGTCTGTCCCAGCAGAAATCCGGGCCAGGGAATGTCTTCGTCCGTCGGCTCGCGCAGCATTTTGAGAGAGTCGGGCTTTGGATTGACGTTGCAGGAGTTGGCGTTGGAGATGTTGTAGGTTAGGAGGATGGAGGTGATGTTCGGTGACGCCAACATGTACCTCCTTTTCACTTCTTCAAACCCACCGACCTCCATGAGGCTTATGATCATGAGTGTGAGGGCCCCGACGATCATAAGCAGCGCTTGGAGGGTGTCCGTGTAGATGACGGCCACCAGCCCTCCGGTCACAGTCAGCAGCGCCGTCATTCCGATCAGCAGGATCACCGACAGGTACAGGTTCCACCCTAGGGACTCTTGGATAAAAAGCGCCCCTGAATACAAGTCAACCGAGAGTTTGGTGAAGATATAAAGAATTAGAGACAACGCTGCAAAATAGATTTGAATCCTATGCCCTCCGAACCGCTTGGACAAGTATTCGGGCATGGTGTACACTCCCGACCGGATGTAGACTGGCACGAAGACCCATCCCAAAAGCTGCAAAAGCATTAAGGCGTTGAACTCCCACGCGCCTACGGCGAATCCGCTCGCCGCTCCAGATCCTGCGAGCCCAATGAAATGTTCACTTCCAATATTGCTCACAAACAACGAGGCCCCGATAGCTACCCAGGTCATAGAACGCCCTGCCAAAAAGTAGCCACTGACGGTGCTCCGATTGTTTTTCCACATGGCAAAGAAACCTATGCACATTACAAGCACGAAGTACAGGGCCACAATGGCAATGTCTGCTGGCTCCAAAGAAGCCCTCATTTTGTAACCAAAAAGCCTTCGCTGACGTCCACTTCTCGCCCCCCAGCCAACGTCTCTTAAGCACCACGTGAAACCAGTTTTAACCAAAATCAACACAGCGGGTCAAATTCTTTGTCCCTTGGTTTGCTGTCCTGATGCTGGTGGCAGTGGTACATTTACTTTTCTCCGCTTCTCAAATTTGGGAACTTAGCACGCACTTTTAATCCACATTCCACAAGAGCATCAGCCTTAACTCAGTTGATGTAGGAGAAATTCTTAGTTGCAGCTAAGTTTAGTGAGGCCTACTGTACCAACCCTGCAAGGCAGCAAAGACAAAAGACAAAGATTGAATTAGAGAGGAATTTCATGAAGTAATGAGAAAAAATTTGAAGTGTAGTAAAACAAATCACTCAACACCACAGATTTTTCCCCCTTTATATTTCCTGCAATCCATAAAAGACATCATTCAATATTTGTAGGGCTAAGTGGTAAAAGCCTTTTACAAGTCAACTTCAATGGTTACAGGTACCTTGAGAGACGCAGCGATTCGGGAGGATTGACCGACCCAAATTCCCCAGAACACGGCAAACAACAAAAACACATTTTCTTTTTCTTTACTCCAGTGTCTCACAAAGTCTCCTTCTCAAGCCACTAACCAGATCTTCCTCTTTCAAGCAATCTTGGGAATATAAAATTAAAATAATCCAATAACAATGGCTATGGAGCCCAAACCTGGCTCAGCGTTTCCTGCACTGCATCCCCCAAATCCTGGGAGATCCTGGCACCGCCACAGGAATGCACTTGAGGCACCAGCTGGCTGCTAGAAAAATCAAAGTGGGGTCACAGCGCAGTCAAAAAACAACACCCATTCCAAATCGGCTGGAGAATCAAGGTTATTGCACAGGTTTTGAGGTGAGTTTGCTCCTGTCTAGGGTACAGATAATCACAGTTATTTTTCACTTGGAAAGCTCTCCATACATATCCACGTGATCCAAGGGGGGATAACATCCCATTCCAGCAAGTGGCAGAAGCAAAATTTCCCACTTTACAGCCAGTAAAACACACACCCACACCCGGGGTTTTGTGGGAGCACCAGAGGCACGGGAGGGAACGCTGGGTGGATTCTGGCAGCAGTCACAGCTGGAAGGATAGCAACAAATGTCTTTCCCAGCATCCATTCCCATCCCAGCACGGAGAGGTGGAAGGCACAGAGTCAAAACTTTCCCTGTCGCCCTCTTCCCGAATTCCCAATCTCACCTGACAGCTCCCAAACATGGCAGGAAACAAAACTCGTTTTGGCAAGCAGGGCTGGAGTGCTGGACGTGGAGGGAAGGGGACAATAAAGACTTGGTGGCAGAGGAAGGGGCACTGAGGAGCTCCATGGTGGCTCCCTCGTGGATTTGGGATGTGCTCCCATCTCCTGTTCATGCCTTGGGAGGTACCACGGAATCACGGAATGCTTTTTGATGGAGGGACCTTCAACCCCTTCCAGTGCCACCCCTGCCGTGGGCAGGGACATCTTCCACTCTCCCAGGCTGCTCCAAGCTCATCCCAAAACTGGGAAAAAAAAAATTTCCCACCTTAGTGATCTTTTTCCCCATTTTTTCCTCTCCTAATGTGTGGAAAATCCCAGATTCCCACTCCAGCTCTTCCACTGGCAAGTGCCACCACTTTTCACTGGCTCAACACCTGCACAGGGATCCGTGGGACTGCTCACAAGTGGGATAAAATTGAGCAGGATTTTCCCTCTTATTTTTTTTCCCCTGGATTTAGGCACCCTGATATGATTCTCCTGATATTATAATGAGGTCTTGTCCCACTGTTTATTTTGTAGGATATATTCAGGGATATTTTTCCAAAATAATGCAGTTTTCCTATAAATGTAAAAAATGAGAATTGAAATATATTTTTAGTATGAAACTTCAGGAAGAGAAGTGATGCAGGGAATTTAGTTATAAAAATGGGAATCATGGAATGGTTTGGGATGGAAGGGATTTTAAGGATCATCTCATCCCAGCCCTGCCATGGCAGGGACACCTCCCACTGTCCCAGGAGCTCCCAATGTCCAGCCTGGCCTTGGGCACTGCCAGGGATCCAGGGGCAGCCCCAGCTGCTCTGGCAATTCCATCCCAGCCCCTGCCCACCCTCTACCAACCCAAACCAAACTTCAAATGGGTTTAGGGAGAGCAGGACACTGGATTCTTCCATTTCCTACACCCAATGGCCATGGGAAGGGAAGACCAAAGCAAAGAGCAGCTTTAGTCCAAAGATGAGAACACAATTCTTCAGTAGCAATAATGAGATTATTACAGAAGGTGAGGAACAGGGTCTGACTCCACTCCTCTTCCCCAGCCACAGGTAAAGGCACAAGAAAACCAACATTGGGTCTTTTTTCTGGCCATAAAATCTCACAAGTCCTACAAGCATCAGCTCCAGGCACCCCTTCCCAATTCAATCTCTGGCACGAGGCTGAAGCTCCCACTGCCCCATTAATTAATAATTAGTACAAACATCCTGATAGCATATTCTAATATCTGGTTGGCTTCATGTTTACATCCCTGCCATATATTGGGTTTGTTTAAAGGGTCAATAAAACCATTTTGAATTCCAGGAGAGTTAAGGTTGAAAATGCACACGTTGTGTAGAAAGCAGCAATGGTGCTGAGGTAAAAAACTCCTCAGAGATTTTAAAAATAGCTCCCAGCAAGCCACAACTTCAACCTTAAGGAGAACTCCACCATTGTGTCATTTGTATGGTCCAGCTGTTTTTCATGAGAAAAATAAAACATAAAAATAAAAATAATAAGGGTTCCCCCCCAGCACCACAAGCCCACTTGAGAATAGAGATATTCCTTCTGCTGGAATTACAGCCAATAATGAGAGACTAAGGAGACATGGCACAAAACGGACTGATTACAGCACTGGGCTAAATTTATCATTCCTCAGAAGCCTCAAACCACAGATGTATTTTCAATTCTTCCACAGAAGAATTCACATTTCTCCCCACCCGCAAATACAGGAGTAGTTAAATGGTCTAATAGCTTAATCCAACCCAAAATTATAAACACTTCACATCAGATGACGCAATCAGAGCCAAGTTTAATGGACTATTCTTAGTTTTAAGCACTTTGGAGCAACACTTTAATAGTGTTGTGTCTTTTGCTGTATTCAGCTAATTTTTCAACTACATTATGCTTATACCAAAACATATATTTGAAGGGAAAGGGAAGAAGAGATTTTACTGAGATAAGACAAAAAAGAAAATCTGCTATACAGAAAACCAGAAGAACAGCCAGGTAAGGAAATGGTAATAATTAATATTTTTAATCTTCTGTTGTTCTTCTCATTACTAAGAAATATTTAACTTGAGTTCATCCCCCACCATCTTCCCTGTAAATTCCTCAGTGACCTGTCAGAAATATCCTATAGAGCAATACAGAAAAATTACAAAAATATCAGTTAAAATGAATTCATTTTGATACCAGAAGTATCCAGAGTGTTTCTATAAACAGGGAATTAACAGAGAAGCTGTGGCTACCCCTGGATCCCTGGGAATGTCCAAGGCCAGGCTGGATGAGGCTTGGATCCACCTGGGATAATGGAAGGTGTTCCTGCCCTGAGGGTGGGACTGGATGGGCTTTAAGGTGCCTGGGAATCCAAACCTTTTGGAATTCCAGGATCCAGACTCCCTGACAAGTCTGTCAGTATTAGATGCAGCTGCCCTCAAATAAATTGTGGCATTCCTCAATTAAGTCACTTCAGCTCCAAGGGGCTCATTCCAACCAAAATAAACAACATGTGAAGTTCCTGGAGCATTTTCCACAGGGAAGATACAGCCAGACCACGCACCTGAAATACCAAATTTCAGAGAGCTGAACCCTGCTTTTTGTCACCAACACCTGAGGGTTTCTGTGCAGGGCTCGGTTTGCCCGAGCTGGAAGGTGGAAAGTTTTCAGCAGCCACCACAAATTTGCTGCACTGTCACTAAATTACAGCACTCAAGTAGCTTCTTGTACCAGTTTCTTAGACCTAATTCCAAAATAACCCTGGAACTTTTCTTCATTAGGAAAATGAGACTCGTCCCTCTGAACTTTCAGCAAGTTCTGACCTCAAGTCTTACAAAGGACTTTTGAGATGTGCCCCATGTGAGTTTAATCCTGAGTTATTAGAACAGTGAACATTGTGACACTGACAGGGGGAGGGAAAAAAAAAAAGAAAAACAAAGGCAGAAAGACAGTGCTGCTGCCAAGGACCGGGAATTTTCTTCCCTGAGGCTGTTTTCTGGCTGGATCATATCAAAGGCACAAAACAATGTGCTTCCCTCTTGTCTGGAAATAAAGGCTGCAGCTCTGGTGAAACAATTCATATGTCTCTCCAACACCCAGCCTGTTCCTTAAGGGGGAAAAAAAAATCCCAAGTAAGTCCCTAAAGAGAGATTTCATAATGTGAAACAGACCCAGGGTGGGATTTTGAGGAGAAATTTGTACCATTGTTCTAAAGGAAAACTTTCTCCACAGTGCTTTTCTAATAAAATGGGTGTTTAAAACATGCCAGAGTCCAACTGCTCCAGCTCTGGAGCCACTGTTTGTTCTCGGCTCCATCGGCTTTTCGGCAGATGGGAAATTTCTGAGCTGACTTTCCTTTCCTCCTCACCAACCCTGATGTTTTAAGGGTTAATTTTGGGATATGGATGCCCACCTATCCCACTGTTAGCAAATTAAGTGCTTTGCTCACAGATTTCTGAGTAGTGTTCAGATTATTTCTTGGAAACAACGTTTTCCCTCTCCACCTTCAAGCAGGAGTATTTGAAGTCAGAAAAATGCACTTTACCTACTTCACAGCTCTGTTGTGTGGAAGAAATTGCCAGGATCATGGAAAATATTAATTCTGCCACAGAAAAATTAATAAAGAGCAGAAGTTTCATGCTTTGAGTGGGATCTGTACCATGTCAAAGTGTTTCCCATGCTCCTCACACTCCTGGCCATGGACACACCAGTGAGTTCCTGCCTGTCCACTGCTCCACAGTAAACACAGGGCAGCCTCAGGAAAATATCTCTTAGGGAAAAAAAAAAAAAGAAATGGCAAAACAAAAAAGGCAAAAAAAAAAAAGGCAAAAAAAATAAGGCAAAAAAACATAAGGCAAAAAAAAAAGGGAAAAAAAAAGGGAAAAAAATGGAAAAGAAAAAGGCAAAAAAAAGGAAAAAAGAGAAAAAAGAAAAAAAAAGAGAAAAAAGAAAAATAAAAGAAAAAAAAATACAGGAATAAAAAGGAAAAAAAAAAGGAATAAAAAGGAAAAATAAAGGAATAAAAAGGAAAAATAAAGGAATAAAAAGGAAAAATAAAGGAATAAAAAGGAAAAATAAAGGAAAACCTTTGTTCCATTTACTGTAGTACTCCAGAACACAAAAAAGGAGCACTGAAACTCTTCATGGAGTAAATGATACATAAATTATGTAGCACATGCCCTTGAGGAAGCAGGGGCTATCCTTGGCAGCTGCTCAACAGAGCCCTCAGCATCCAGGGCAGCAGTTCCAGGCTTTTCCCTGAAAACCAGGAGCTGGGGCAGAGGAACGTGCCAGGAACCCCCCTGGGACAGACAGGGAAGGCAGAAGTTGACCTGGAGCATCCAATAAATAACTTGAGCTGCTGGGGATGCTGGGCCAGAGCTGAGCTCAAGAGGCTGCAGCAGGAAAGGGCCACGTTTGCAGGTTACCTGAGCCAAGCTGACTAAATCTGCATCATCACAACATCAACCTCCTGCTGCTCTGGAGAACTCAGGAGCCAACTCTATAAACCATCAGTACCAAAAAAATCCAACTGGAGGTGCAAAGATCGAGTCACTCACTCAAAGGAGTTGTTATGAACACGTAAGGAACTTTTGTTTTGGTCAGGAATCACTCCAGCTCTGGTCTTCGTTTTACTGCAGCAGCACAAAAAAGCAGCTTGTTCCAGCATAAATTCTTCTGGATTCTTTTCTACACAACTGCTGGGGGAGACATGAGAGAAATAAATAACCCCAGAGCAAGAGACACAGAGAACTCACTGCGTTTGCCAGCCAGGAACGGGATGGACAGCGGACAATTACAGAGCAGAAACTGGAGTGATGCGAGGCCAGCTGGAGCTCAAGGGCACTGGGAGAGCAGGACATCATTTAATGGTCATTTTTGGGGTTTTTTTACACCATTGTCTCCCCTCAACCTAAGCAAATAACCCTTTCCAGTGTCCTCCCAAGGCACAAACGAAGGAGGGGGGAAGGCACAGGAAGGACACTCCTGTCAGGGGACACGAGAGAAGCTCCAGCCTTGCAAAGCAAGAAAAAATGGATTTTTTCAGAATCTGCATCACCCTCCCCAAGCCACTTCATGCCACTGCCTGTGACATTCACACTTGGCTGGTTCCCTTTGCCAAGAGCCAGTCCCTGGCACTCCAGCAGGAATAAGGAACTGATTTGCTTCCACTGTTCTTCCCAAAACTCCAAACACCTACAGGGCAATGGGGGTAAGCTGGGGACAGAGGGAAGGAGATAAAAATCCCTTTTTTATCTGTTAAATACAGATACCAGAAAGAAATTCTTTCTTCTCCAGGCCTACCTAGACATGATGCAGCTTCATACCCAGGAGATTAATCCATCAATTATCAATTTAAAGAAAATAATGAGTTAATAACTTCCTTTTCCCCTTGTCGGCCCAAAGAATTGGCTTATGTTTCCATGGGTGACAAATGTTAACTGGAGGAATTTCTTCATGGAAAGGAACTGGAAGGGGCTGCCCAGGGAGGTTTGGAGTCCCCAAGGAAGGGCTGGATGTGGCTCTCAGGGCTCTGGGTTGGGGACAAGGTGGGCATCAGGCACAGCTTGGACTCCACAGGCTGGAAGGGCTTTTCCAAGCTCTGGAATTTTGTGAAGGGAGCAGAAACTGCCAAAGAATTTGGCCTCTCTTCCCTGGGAAATCAGCAGAACCTTTCCTGCCTCGGCTGCAGCTCCAGCAGGGCCTTCCTGCGCTCAGTTTGTCACCACAACCCCAACCCTGAGCAAGGGAACCACACAGAGGTGACGTCCCCCCTGCACAGGACTGTTCTTTTCCACAGGAACTGAAAGCAAAAGGGGCAGAGACAACCCAGGAACCACATGGTGAACAGCAAAATCAAGGGCACCAGAGGGCAAACAGCCAGACATTTTCAAGGAAATGCAAAGGGGCTGGCAAAAACTGGAAGGTTCTGGCATCACACAGCACCAGGCAAGATTTCCCCAGCAGGTCATTCTGTGCTGGAAGGTGCAGAAGGAAACTGAGGCCCAAGGCTCAAATCCCTTCTTTTGGCAACCCAAAATCCAGCAGCACAAACATTTCCCTGCCATGGCAGGAACGAAGGAGATGAAATACTTGGTCACCAGAGCAGCAGCACAAGAATTGGTCAAACAAGCCTCAACAGCCAAGAATTTGATTTCTGGAGTGGATTTGGGACTACTTCAGTTCCCTGGACAAGGTTATCATCTTTTTAGACACAAATATCAAAAATGCTGCAAAATCTGTACTGGAGATGCCCTTTCCTTCAGCTGGAGGTTCAAAGATGTGATGCAGCTGGTGGTGATCACCACTCAGCAGGAACTGGATAATCCCAGCCTAAAAAATGTGCTGGTTCATCCCATTTGAGGAGGATTTTGGCTGGGAGAGTGCAGAAGTTACTTGGGAAATGAGAAAGGAGAAGTGACATTCCCCATGAAACCGGGCAAGATACCAGGAGGAAATTCTTCTTCAAATTTCTAGGAAGAACAACAACAACAAAACAAACCAAACAACAAAACAAACTCAAGTTAACAAAAACCCAGACTCATTAAGCTTCTTTAGGACTTCCCTAAATTCCCATCACATTTCTGGCTGCCCATAATCTTTGGAAGAATATAAAGAATCCTCAGGATTATTAATAGGTGAGACAGAAGTTCAGAATCATACATAATCCAGGAATTTGAGGCTCTCCAAGCTTCCCAGTCAGCTGGGTGCTGTTTCAAGACTTCTGATCCTTCTCAGAGATTTTTCAAGACACCAAAACCAGAGTTAAATAAAATTCTATTGGTTATAAAACAATTAATGCCATTTACAAAGCTTGATACAGACTATGTGTATTAAAAGCTAATGAACATTGATTTCTTTTTCTAAAACATCAACTCCACTGAATTCCCTCCCTGAATCCATGCATGGACCTGGCTTTTTATTATTCCTTAGATATTTGCAGGACTGAACATAAGGACTGGCTTGCAAATGGACAAACCAGGATTAAAAAATAGCAGAACAACACTTCTTCTGCAGTTCCTCAATCCTATTTCTTGGGTTTATGAGCCTCCCTTTACACCATCCACTTCCTTCCTGCCCTTCTCCCCACCAGGGGTGATGAATTTTCTGTAGAATCTCATTTTTAGCACCAATATTTGCACCAGTGCTCCACAGGACAGGTCCTTCCCATCTTTTCCACACATTTACTTCCAATTTTTCCCGTTCCACTTCTCCATAATTAGTTCTATTTTGCGTCTATTTCTGTGTTTTTATTTTTCCCTGCTTTCACCTTTTTATCAGGTCCTCAATGCACACTGGGGATATTCCTGCTGCTCCATAGGGCAGGAATTTTTCCAGGGAATAACGTGGTGCCCAGAGGTTCCTGGTAAGGGACATGGAAGATGGGACATGACCCAAGCAACTGCTTCCACCCAAACAGCTCCTGCTTCATCCCAGATTTGCAGGTGTGGGTGGCTGTGGCTCCAGGAATGATCAGCCTGCCATGGATGGAACCTGACAAATCATAGAATCATGGAATGGTTTGGGTTGGAAAGACCTTAAAGCCCTTCCAGTGTCACCCCTGCCATGGCAGGGACACCTCCCACTGTCCCAGTGTCCAGCCTGGCCTTGGGCACTGCCAGGGATCCAGGGGCAGCCCCAGCTGCTCTGGGCAAAGAGGGGGAAAATAAAAGGGAAGATAAATTACTCGATCAACAACTCCCAAAGCAATTTTTGTGTGGCCAGTTATGGTTCTGGGATAAGGGAACTGGAAGAAATCAGCTCCTGAAAGAACACACAGAGAAAACCGGAGCTTCCATCATTCCAAAGGGTGGAATTGATGAAGATCAGGGGATGGGAAACACAAACACACGTGAGCTGAAGCAGCAGCTCCTCCTCAGTGTCACAACGGCCAACTTTTACAGGAGTCACTCACGCTTCAGGGCTTCCCAAAAATGCAGCCATTAACGCTGTTCAGCACAAAGGGTTCTCCTGCCTTCCTTACCACGAGTTTAGGGACAGGATCTGCTCCACGCTGGAGCAACCAACTCCTCCCTGTTCACAGCCAGAACACATCAGGAACAAAACCTGAGCAGGAGCAAAGAGCTCCCTGCTGAGGAGGAACCAGGGGCAGCCCAGGGAAGTTTTAACTCGAGGGTTAACCCCCACTGCTGTCCCCTGAAGAGGGATTGGCCAAACTCAATTAAATCCCACCAGGGCCTGCAAGAAACTGAAATTAGGCTTAAACTATTCTGCAGAAAAGAATAATCCTCTGTGTCCCCTCACACAGAGGCACATATCCCACACTTGGCAAAAATTCTGGCTCTTCCAAGACTGAAAATGTCAAATATCAGGCAAGAGGGTATCGTTCGCAAATGCTGTCTGCACCAAACTCTCCAAAATCCATCTCATGGAATGCTCAAGGCAGAAAACAAAGAGGTGACTCCTCCAGCAGAGTCACTGCTGGATCTTGCTGTCTTCTGGTCCCGTCTTTTAATTCCAAGGCTCTGGTCTCCTTCCCAGCACCACCCCTGACTCCAGGATCTCTCCCTGCCAGGCTGAAGAGTCTGTTCCAGCCTACTGAAAATGCCAGTGGGAACAGAGGAAAAAACCTTGGTGTAATTTTAACCTGCTCAGCAGGGGGGGAAAAGAAAGGCAGGAAGGAAGAGGAAGGAAGGAAGAGGAAGGAAGGAAGAGGAAGGAAGGAAGAGGAAGGAAGGAAGAGGAAGGAAGGAAGAGGAAGGAAGGAAGAGGAAGGAAGGAAGAGGGGAAAAGGAAGGAAGAAGGGGGAAAAGGAAGGAAGAAGGGGGAAAAGGAAGGAAGAAGGGGGGAAAAGAAAGGAAGGAAGGGGGAAAGGGAAAAAGGGATCTTCATGCTTTGTCCTCCCCTCCTCCTTCCTGGCAACTGAGACATCAAAAGGCCAATTGCTGCAGCTGCCTACACAGCAATTAAGTGGAATAGCCAAGATGTCAAGCAACACTACTGCCCATTTACTTTGGCTTTCCTGAAATAGCCAACAATCTCCACACGGCAGGTAGGGAATTTTGGAAACACAGCAACCCACTCCAAAAGCAACAAACAGCTGCTGAAGACAAGTTGTGCTGTGAGAACATGGCTGGAGAACTGAGAGCCCACATTCACTGCAGGATTATTATTATTATTATCATTATTTGGAGGTGTCCCAGGCCAGGTTGGACAGGGCTTGGAACAACCTGGGATAGTGGAAGGTGTCCCTGCCATATGGACATATGGAACAAGGTGATTTTTAAGATCACATCCAACCCAGACCACTCTGGGATTCCAGAAGTGGGTGGATGGGTTTCCTAGTCCAGGTATGTGCTGAAAAAAAGGTGATTAGGTTTTAGATTATGACACTGTGTGTTTGAACTTTGTCACAGGTGAAGATGAGCACACTGCTAATGAAATATTGATAAATGTCCTCATTTTAAATGAAATACTCTGATATTTACAAAGTGCCCATTCAGTGCCAGCTACAAAGGGGTGCAGTTGAGGAGAGGTGTCCCTGTGCTCTGCTCTGGGTGACAAGCAGAGCATCAGTCAAAGGCTGGACTCCATCCTGGGGGTCTTTTCCAAGCTCAAGGACTGTGGGATTCCCACTCTGTGTCCCAATCCCCACAGTCACTCTGCACAAACAGTCTCAGAGCAGCAGGAAGCCATTTCCTGTCCTTCCTTCCTTCCTTCCTTCCTTCCTTCCTTCCTTCCTTCCTTCCTTCCTTCC